TCAGAGAATTAAGATGTGTGGGAGAGATTCTGAATGTGCAGAAAGTTTTGAACATGAGCAGAAAACCTGCTGAAACACAGCAGCTATCAAAGTACTGGAATAAATAACTTAAATTAAAATTACTTTATTTGAGGTAGAAAGGTGTCACATGCACATACATCCCCAAATAAAAGACACAAAAGAGGATGTGTGCATGTGTGTGCTTTTAAATTAGAAAAGTTGATCTACAGGAGAAACACAGGCTATTTAAAAGCAATACCTACAGAATGCCTGAAAACCTTACTGCATTATATTCTATTAATTTTTTTGTATATTTGAATTGTCACCTGCTGCCTGAATTTTGTGTTTTCCACCATATAATTCTGACATAAGTTGATCTATTTTGTTGTCATTTAAAGTAAGCTGTAGATAAAATCTAATTGTGTTAAATTTATATATATTATCCTACAAAGATGTGTTGGATTAACATTATCAGTTTGTATAAACAACACGCAGACAGCTAGTTCACTCTACATGGACAGAAAACTAACCGTTTAAACCTTATTACAAATTATAAGTTTGCAAAATATGTATATATGCAATACCTGATTTTGCACAAATGAAAGTTCTGTATACTTCTTCATGGCCCGTGTACGCTTTATTTTGCAGTAAAGATTTAAGGAGAAAAAAAAAAGATTCTGATTATTACCACATGAATGCATCAGTCACCGCAAACCACTCCCTTTCCAAGCCACAGGAGACGCTACGGTGGCTGACACACTCTGTTGGCTCTTGTGCTAAATAATACATACATTTGTCCAAATTTCTCTTATTTTCTTACTTCTAATAAACTGGTCGACTACTACTACTAGAATTACAAACGTTACACTGTAAAGATTATCTAGGTGGTTCAGCTTTAAAACATAAGTTCAATTGCTGCCTTAAAAATTTGAGTAAACTCAACTTTAAGAAAAGCTTTGTTTCAACTCATGATGTTATGTTATACAATTTGTTTAATTAATGATCATTTATTGTTTGAACTTAAAACTGTCAGTTAAAACAAGTATCTATATTACATTGTCCACTCAAGGAAACTTGCTTTATCTTGTCAAACAAACATACAATTCTACACCCTTTCAACTCACATTTTTAAGTTCAGATAACTAAATTTAAGACATTTCAAGTTAACTCCACTTGAATATTGCCTTGGTTTCAACTCATAAATTCAACTTTATAAAGTTGATATAACTACAGTGTTCTAGTTGTGTCAATGTTGTTTTTTTAGTTAAATGAATTCTTTGCAAGTTTGAGTTATTCTAACTCATAGTGAGAATAGACCCCAACAACAGCAACACTGTAATATTATCTTAAGTGACTTGCAACAGGGCAGGGTAGCTTGCTGGTGTGCCTGTGCAGGCCGCAGTCAAAGATCAAAATAGCAGCACTTGTCACCTCCTTTCTGAAAGGGCCTTAAGACCGTTGTATTTTGGTTTGAGTTTGAATATATGACTTATCTGCAGTGTATAATTAGCAGGGGTGAGCAAAAACACCACTATCTATATCTGTATCTGTTAAACAATTTAAATTTCCTGTATCTGTACTCAGAATGGGCGGGGCTTAACCTATAAATGGGCGGGGTTAACTGGAAGTTATTTAAGCCTGAAATTTGTATCAGAACTTGCTATATTAGAAAACTATTTACAGAACAGCCTCAGAATTGAGCTTCAGCGCAATGTTTTTGATAAAAAAAAAGGTTATATTTATAGTTTATAACAAAACAGATATTGACACATTTTACTCTGATGATACTCATAAAAAGTATCTGTACCAGATACTCATTTTAACTGAGTACACGCTAAACCCTAATAATTGGTTGATTATGTCTTTGTTTTTCTCAAACTCAAAAGACGCAGCACCTAGGCTTTTTTTTCTCTAGCTCCAATCCTCACACCTCGCCTTTTTTTTCAACTGATAACTTAAGTAAGTTAAATCAACACGACAAAAGTGTCAAATAGTCAACACAATGAATTAATGCAAGTTTAACTTTCTAAAACTCGTGCAGTTGAGTTCAAAATCCAAAACTTGTCAGAGCTATTTGAGTTGAAAAGAAGAAGTAAGTTCACGTAACTAAATGGGTCTATGATTTTTTCAGTGTACTCAACGTAATGACAAAACACGCTCTGTGGAGGCTTTGGCCATTTGGCCTACTGTAGAAACATGGCGACTGGTCGACTACTACTACTAGTACTACAAACGTTACTTCTTTTCTTCTTCGTACATACTCAACGTAATGACAAAACACGCTCTGTGGAGGCTTTGGCCGTTTGGCCTACTGTAGAAACATGTCGACGCAGCATGGCAACGTCCATGTAAGAGGACCAGCGGTGTATGTAGATAGAAATGTCTCATTCTAAGTAATAAAAACATAAACTGTCCAGTGTCTAAATAACATCTAACTTACAAACGATCAACCATAAAGGGGGAAGACGCCTCCCCTCCAATGGGGTGAGATTCCCCGGTCGTCCCGGCCTTTCTGTGTGCATGTTCTCCCCGTGTGTGCGTGGGTTCTCTCCGGTTGCTCTGGCTTCCTCCTACCATCCAAAGACAGAAGGACTATGTTAATTTGGTGGCTCTAAATTGTCCTTAGGTGCGCGTGGTTGTTCGTCTATGTGTGGCCCTGCGATGAACTGGCGACCTGTCCAGGGTGTACCTCGCCTTTGACCCGATGTAAACTGGGATTGGCTCCAGCCCTTCTGTGACCCTGTACTCAAAACAAATGCACATACTTCATCTATCAAATTCAATCTTGAGGACGACATTAGGTCAAAATATGTACAAAACTGTAACATGTATAGGGCTATAAGTATATTGTGGCGTCAGCTGAAATGATGATCATAATATAAACAGAGGTTTACCACATGTATAGCTTATTATACTGTGACCATATTTGCAGCTGTATCCTTTGACCTGTGATGTGCAGCTGACTATGACTATTACTATTACTGTGGGTCAGTTTTCTTGAGGCAGGAGAACTTTTGGGAGTTACTAATCTTTATTCATATAAAGGCAAACACAAAATTCAGGTGGCAGGTGATGATTCCAAATATAATACACTATAATACAGTAAAGCTCTCAGGCACTTTTTGTTGCTTTTAGATATAGATATATTTTCACCTGTAGTTAAACTTTTACAAGGTTGTTTATTTGTCATTATACACCACAAGGTTGCTGTATAATGAAACAAAAGTTTGTTGTCCCTTCAAGCTGCACACACAGAACTTAACAAATGAATATATTAATATTTGAATACACATTTAATGTGTATTCAAATATTTTCATGTTTTTTTTTTCATGTTTTTTCCTTTGTTTTGGGAAGTAGCTTCTTAAATATGACTGTGGCACCTTTACTCACCTCAATTATCCATCCATCGTCAAGCGCTTATCCTGCATGCAGGGTCCCTGGGGGCTGGAGCCAATCCCAGCTGACATCGGGGCGACAAGGCGGGGTACATCCTGGACAGGTCGCCAGTCCATCGCAGGGCTCACCTCAATGATATTAAATCATTTTAATTCAGTTTCTAAAGGTTTCTGCTCATGTTCAAAACTTTAAGCACATTCAGAATCTCTCCCACATAATCTCTCTGTGTTCTCTGACAGGTGCAGAAAAAAAAAAGTCGTAGCCTACTATAACGAGAACAACGTCATCATTTACGAGAATTCATAAAACAGTACCTGCCCTATACTCCGCTGTGCATAAGCCTGCGATGTTGCTCTGCTGATTTGGCCCTTGCAGACACCGTCTGCAGACACAGAACCGTTTGGGACTGTCCTGGATGAGAGGAGGTGGATAAACGAAACTTATTTGATCTTCAACCAAGTCCAGTTGCCCTTGACTTTAACCTTCGTTGGATTATTATTTGAAACACTTTGGATCAGACAGAAATATCACCACAAATCCACACAAATGTTCACAGTCCTAAACAGAGCAACTCTGCGCCTCAGATTTTAGATGTTATTTTGCAAAACTCTTTCAGATAGTTAACGCGACTCACCGCGCGAGGTCGCATCGCATCAGCTGGGTGGGGTTCTCTCGCCCTGAACTCGGGTTCACGCTGATTGTTATCAAGGTTCACGCTGATTGTTATCAGTAATTCATGTGTTTTTCACTGCGTGAGTAAATCGATGTGTGGCGTGAGAGCGTGTGAACATTGTCTGCGTGAGTGCCACTTTCAGCGCCTGAGACTTAGCAGCTCTGCTGTTACATTATTTAAAGGTTAAGCAAGCTAAAGTTTTACTAGTCTGCCTGTTTGCTCCTCACCTTCACCTTACACGGTGCTTCTGAACAAATTGTCTGACCAGAGATTTGGCCATTGCCTCCCTATGATTTTATTCTTCTCTGTTTGTTTTGGCTGCTCTTTTCTGGGCCACTGACATTTATCATGTAAATACATCTAAAAAGTAACAGTAAGTACAGTAAGACAGTAAGTAAAGTGTGTAACTTATCCTATTTAAGGGTTAACCATAGACCTTTGCGTGGACCCCCACATACAGGCTCATTCATAATGTGCATTTTGTTGATATATTAATCAATCAAATGGCATCAAGAATAAAAAAGTGTGTAGTTTCTCATTCATTAAACCTTAATGCCAACACCCATTATTTCTCTTTTTAATAGATAACAACGTAAAGATACTCAAAGGTAAATAAAATATAATAAAATCTCTAACACGACTCACATGACAGATTTTTTATCCAGAGGCCCAGAGTTTAATCAAAACCTGGAGAAATGCATGCATCGCAACCTGCAAAGTCTGCTGATTTGAAGTTTGCACAATTTTGTTTCCCATGTTAACTTTTAATAGTTTTTTGGGGGGGTTGTTTTGTCATACTTTGAACTGTGTCTGTAGGAGATGGTGCTCTACAAATAAACTTTCTTGTGGTATTGTGCCTATTTTTTCTCTCTCTCTCTCTCACACACACACTTCCTGTGAAACTGTCAGGCCAACTCAGTGGTTGTCTTCCATCTTCAGTAGTTTACTCTCTGCTGATGTGTTGACACTGACCTCTCCCTGCTTTATTTTACCCTCTTTGATGCAGACACACACCAGACTTCAGGGAACAAAGTCAGCCATCAGCACCAGATCTGGAAATCAACGGCAGCAGTTTTAAATCTCAAAGGGAACGCAGTGCTGCTGTTTATAGACATGAAGCTGTTCTGAGAAAGCAGAAGGTGGTGAGACAGTGTGGTGGACGTCTCTCTTCGCCATGGCATCAGCTCTGCCGGTGTACTACCATGGCGCCATCAGCAAAAAGGAGTGTGAGGATCTGCTGGGAAAGAAGAACAAGGATGGAGCCTACCTGATCCGAGACAGCGAGACCATCCATGGAGCCATGTGTCTTTGTGTTTAGTGAGTACCCTCTTTTTGATGTTTTACATCTGCCACCAGAGCTAGTAATACCCCAGTACTCTAATATAGTAGAATTTGTAGTAGGAGTGCATTTTATAGTACTTCATTTTATTTTATTTAGGTAAAAATATTGCATCGGTACTAGTGTTGCTCATGGTTTTAGTATTAATATTATTATTATTCTCAGGTTATATTTTAATTCAATGTTCTGTTTATTCTTAATTTTATTTCAACAGATTTTACTTTTCTAAGAAATGTTTTGTTTTTGTTTTGTGGAATGTTTAGATTAATTTAAACTTTTCATGTTTTGAAAGAAATATAGATTATCAATAATGTTTTTTTTAAATAAAATATACTCAAATGTTATATTTAAAGAGGTTTGTAAGAATGTTAGTCTAAGTTCATATTATATCACAATTATTAAATATATAGGCTATACATACACTCCAACAAAGTTTAGTTAATCCAACTTGTTTTTAAATATAGCAGGAACAAAGTATTGTCTGTTCTTAGCTTCAGTTTGTACATATTGTTTTGCTTGCTGTCACTTTGGAACATGATGGGCAAAGATACAGACATTTATTTATGCATATTATTACTGTACTTGTGCAGGCTTAACCTAACATTTGTTGTGGTCTAGTGACAGTGCATAGTGGTTGGCTGCTGTTTCTGCCACTTAGGAAATTTCCATTTCATGTGTGTGGTACAAAAAGTAAATGCACCAACCACAGCAAATATTTAAAATAGAAATATGCTTTTAAATGGCCCTTCCGATAAAAGAAACATGCCTTTCCTTCAGGTGTTAATGACACTGGAAGCATTCAAACTATGTGCGTGTGAGTTATGTGACCACGCCATGTTTGTAATGGTTTCTGTCATGTTGTTAGGGCATGTTGTTCAGAAGCTGCACGGATGCTTCGTCATCCTGGACTTCATGGTTACACTTCTGCAAATATTATGAATAGACAATATGTATCTTGTTTTTCTTTGCAGTAAACAAAGTGTGGTGTATACCTACAGACTGCTGCAATCACACACTGGACAATATACTCTCATGGTAAACACACACACACTGTACATAAACACTAGAGCCACGTCCATGTGTAATTAAGTATTTTAATTTAGTTAACTGTGTTTTCTGTAAACTCCCAAACACGAAGGTATAAATGCTGTTTCCAAGCCCTCTGTACACTGCCAGGGATTTGATTTGATAGCCTTTATTGTCCCCGAGGGGCAATATGTTGCTACTACAACAGTAGTTAAAACACATCAACCAAGTAATAAATAGAATACCTAAAAACATAAAACATACATTAGTTAAATTATGAGAAATACTGAGTCCTTGCTGGATATAAAACATCTGTACGTTCGTCTGCAGCATCAAGTACCGCAAAATGTCAAGTATTGAAAGTTGGTGTCAAATATTTTGTGTGGTTCTTTATTTATTCTTTCATTAGATGTTTTCTCATTTAAATCAGAAAATAATTTAAAGTTTAGATTATATTTTACTTCGACAAAACTTTTTAGTTTGACATGTTTTCACTGACCAGTTTGATGTACAGTTTGTCAGTATCTCCGTGTTGCAAAACAATACTGAGGATATGACCTCAGTGTTCTCAGTGGCAGCCTGACAGTCAAAAACCAAACTAAGTGTGAAATGTCACACTTTGCTACTGAATGGAGACAAACCTGACAGAGACACTACACATGCACCGACACTAGCTGCTACTACTGGCAGCAAACACACACAGTCACTATATATATTATATATTTTAGGTGACTTTAGTGTTACATCCCTAACACAAACCAAAGGTAATAAACATAAACATAAAAAGAAATAACCTTAGATCACCTGCCTCCTTCTCAAAATAAGTCAGATAATTGGTCGACAATAGACAGTAAGCTAATACTTTTACTGTCCCTTTAAGGCACATGGACACACATCGAAATGCACATATTTTTAAACATAAACATCAATCAGCAAGTTCATAACATCTGGTAGTATTGTAGTACTCGAGACTGGTCTTGGTCATAAGACCGGCCGGTCTTGGTCTTATCTTGGTCTTGACCTCATTTGTACTCGGTCTTGTCTCGGTCTCGGACATTGAGGACTCGGGATTTTATTTGAAGACCAGTCAAGACCATAACTTTGGGAATATCAATAAATTGCTTTTGCATTGTCTGATTTGTTAACATCCTAACTTTGATTGGAAGTAAAACTCATTGCTTCAAATGCAACCAATAACCCTAATTAGTCACCCCTCCCTGCGATGCTTACGTTGATTTCAGCACTTTTTGTATGTGGGTGTTTTAATGGGAATGTGGATCTTTCAGATCAGTTTGAGGAATACCTACGATCTCATTCCACATTTTATTGCATGCCATGCAATGCTGGGAACTGGTCTTGGTCTTGACTCGGTCTCGGTCTCGATAGTGGCTTTATATTAGCTGTGTTTATGTTGCTCCACAGCATTTGTATTTCCAACATACAGTGTCACACAAAAGTGAGTACACCCCTCACATGTTTGTAAATATTTGATCATATCTTTTCATGTGACAACACTGAAGAAATACCACATTGCTAAACCCTATTGAGTATCTGTGGGGCATCCTCAAATGGAAAGTGGAGGAGCGCAAGGTCTCTACCGTCCACCAGCTCTGTGACGTCGTCATGGAGGAGTGAAAGAGGACTCCAGTGGCAACATGTGAAGCTCTGGTGTTGGTGCAGTTTCACTTAAGGGTGTCCTCACTTTTGTTGCCAGCGGTTTAGACATTAATGGCTGTGTGATGTGTTATTTTGAGGGGGCAGCACATTTACAAGCTGTACACTCACTACTTCACATTGCAGTCATTTCGTCAGTGTTGTCACATGAAAAGATATAAACAAATATTTACAAACATGCGACGGGTGTACTCACTTTTGTGAGATACTGTATACTTTGCTTTGTTCATAACATTTAAACTCATTAACAGATACCGCAGTCTTTAAAGGAACAATTCACCCCCTAAGTGGAAACTCAGCTGTTTATCTGATCAAGCCCGTGTCACAGGAAACTCCTCTGACGTTGTTTTCCACTCCACTCAGAGCATGAAGCGTCAAATCTGCAGAGAAGCTAATTGCAAATAGTAAAGTGTTTGAATCTGACCTTTCCAGAGTTTTTTTTAGTGAAATGGAACTACACACTGATAGTCAGGCTGCTTTAGAGACAATTTACATTTTGATCGGAACAATGTATTAATGTGTTATTCTGAGGTGATGAAGATCTTCAAAGACATGAAACTTGGCCTCCCTGATTTTGTAAACATTGATTCGGGCTCTTTATTTTCCCCTTTTTGTCCATGTTGTGAAATTACTCCTTTCTACATTTTGTTTTTAGATTTAGAGGTAAAACAATTAGTTAATTAGCTGTGTTGATACTTGCTTAATTTTTTGTCATTTTGCAAGCAATTTATTCATTTTCTGACATTTTCTAAACAAAAAACCAATGGGATAATTATGAAAATAATTGGCGGATTAATTGATAATGACTGTAAGTGTTAGTTTATAGTAGCCCTAGTTTGATTAAAATTAAATTTAATGCCAGACTTTCCTAATATTAGTATTGCATTCCAAACAAATATTTATATTAAAATCAATTTACGGTATGCTGTTATTTCTTCAGACAGCAGGAGGGTTGGAGGAGACATTTTTTAAGTCTTTGGAAGATCTGATCCGTCACTATAAAAGGAAGAACCAGGGACTGGCCATCCATCTGCGCCACTCAGTTAAAAGGAAGACAGCCTTGTTAATCCAGCCCAGGAAACCACCTGAGGTAGAGCCACAGAGGGAAGAGATACCTTTACGTGAAGAAGAGCCTGACTATGAGAGTACGTCATATTTTTCAGTTTTCTTCTCTCGCAGTGTCTTTGTTGAATTGTGGTGTATTGACCTTTTCTCAATTTTCCTCTAGATGTTCCTGACTCTGACTACGTTGAAGTCTTGCCCACCTGAACAACTCTGACTTTTGACATTTAGCATCAAACACATGAGGAGAGTATGAAAATACATTTTTGGGGGAAGTCTGAACCATTAGTGCTTTAAAAAAACGATGTGAGATTCACAGACTGGATCGAATTCAGAATAATGAACAAGGAACTTGGACAAATGGATGCTGAAGAACAATGAACTCTTCATCTTCTTGTACTCCTGTAGTTATTCTTTTATCCCCTGTTTTTAGCCACGCTAGCAGTATGGTTCTACAGATGTCGATCCGTCCGTTCACTTCTACGGAATTATCTCAACAACCATTGGATGGATTGCCGTGAAATTTGGTTCAGACATTTATGGTTCCCAAAGGATGAATTGTAATCACTTTGTTCCCTTAACAGCCCATCTAGTTCAGTTATCTGGTCTAATTTTCAATTTGTTTTGTGAGTATTTACTTGCAAAATTATGATTAGTGCTATGAGCAGATGTTAACGTACTAACCTACGGTACATTATACAGTAGCATCAGCATTTTGTCAATGCTTTGTGATACTTTGTGAGCTTACTAATATTAGCACCACTGTGTCTAAGTCAAGCGTGGTGACTTTACACATGCTGAATGTGTGGGAGCTGCTAATGATGAGCAGTAGCATATGATATTTTTTAACACCCACTGTTAGACTGAGTCTGAAAGGAAAGTGATCAGATAACTTTTGCATGTCTGACGAGATGCTAAAATGAGGACAAAAGGGGATGCATCCCACACAGTGAGCCAAACATTTCAACAACTGTGTGATCAACTGATCATATGCGTAATTACTTCAAAAATCTGAAGATATGTGCATGTGGAAACTTTTGACCTATTAAAGGAAGTCCTAAAGGGATTACTCATATAGCAAAAGATATGCCAAGTGAAAGGCGGTTTCAGTATTTCTCAGCCCTTATTATTTACCATCACCGGCAACCATGCAGAGCACAATGTCACAGATTTTTGTTTTTATTGAAAAACCACATAAACCATCTTCAGCTTCTTTTTGATCTTAAATATCCAAAAAGTAATTTCTTTAGATTAATGTTAAAACAAAAAACTCATAGAATAGCAAAATATTGTCTTTATATATGATATCTTCCTATACGTATTTTTATGTAACAAACAGGAGGAAATAGTGCATTTGTTGTGGACTATTTTCATCAGTGGATGAATCCACATGTGGTGCTCCTGTTTGTGGTCAGAAAAAACTTCAGTGTGTGTTCTCGGTGATGATGGAACGTGTCACCCAGTGCAGCAGTGAGGCTCACTGATGGGTTTTTAATAGTTTTACAATGGAGGTGTGTGGCTCAGAGGAAGAAGAGACATCAGTCTGTGAGACACACACAGGACTTGTTTTTGTCTTTCTATGGGATTTTAGAAAAAGAAAGAATATCACCAACACTATGCTTTAAGTCAATGGATCTGAAAATTATGGTATGTTATTATTTTTAGTGGTGGAACAAAAAGGTCAACAGGTCGAAGGTGTTTCAGATTTGAATTTTGGGTGCGGTGCTAATGAGGGAGCATTGAAGGGATGTTCACTGTTCACACTGTAAAAATAGTGAGAAATGCCCTCACGATTACCCAGAGCCCAAAGTGACACCTTTACAACAAGTCCAGACCTCAACGTTATTAACAATGCATTAAAATTGGAAAAATAAAAAGGACTACCTTTGTGTAGACTCTTCCAGCCACTCAAAGTACTTTACAACCATAGGTGTCATTAACACTGGGGACGCTGGGGACATGTCCCCACCACTTTTTGAAATGGCTGATTTTGTCCCCATGAGTTAATTTGTTCAAAAAAACATTCGGAAATATAGCTTACAGTTAAATAACAAATGAAAATGCCTTTATAAAGGTTAATTTGCACATTAAGAAAACATGCAAAAAAACCCACCCAAAATCATGTAGCTCCTATCAGTAACTTTAACAGCTTCTTGACTTCTTTTTGGCCAGGTTGGCCAAGTTGATATACAGGAGAAACATATCTGAAAGCAACACATAATGCCTGAGAGCTGCACTGACTTACATTCTATTTAAATATTTTAAAATGTCATGTGCTACCTGAATTTTGTGTTTCCTTTTATATAAATAAAAACATTTCCACCATAAACTGGTGCAGAAACTTTCACCAAAGTAACACGCTTGTTTACAACACATGTAAAAATTCACACACTGATGTAACTGCAGTGGTGGCTCAGGAGGTGGACCGGAGGTCCGATCCCCCGGTTCCTCTGCATGTCAAAGTGTCCTTTGGGTGTGAATTTATATAAATGTTAATTTCTGTTCTGATGATGCAGTTGGCAACTTAGCGTCTACCATCAGTTTATGACTGAGTGTGAATAGGTGACGCACTGTACTGTACAAGTTAGGATCATTTCCCATAACTGCAGAAAGAATAGCACATTCACACACACACACACAACGATGGCTGGGGTTCAGTATCTTGCCCAAGCCCACGTCAACCTCGCACATCTTCCGATTAGGGGACGATACGCTCTACCTCTAAACCTAAATGTTTTTGCATGAAACATGTCTTCAATGATTTAAAAAGTAGTTAGCACTTAATTTTCTGTCAATCCATGAATGTCTCAGATGAACTACTATAAAACTGTTGCAGTTTAATTTACAATAAAATGTATTTTATAAACTCGTTGTGTGTTTTCGGGTGCAAAAATCTTGATTGGTAAAGACATTAAAGCTGCCAGATAAATGTAGTGAAGTTAAAAGTACACTGTTGACTACCCCTGAGATGTAGTGGAGTAGAAGTGGAAATAGGCATGAAAACAACTAAAAAATAACTGAATGTAATGCTGCAGATGACTTGCTTAAATATTTAACTTCTTAACTACGCAGATGTGGTGTTTAAACACACTAATGCAACAATGTGCATTTTTGTATGACGTACATCTGTATCTGATTAATCAGACATGTATTCAGAGTCACAGTTCTGGCACACATAAATTGCCTGGCCTGAGGTGCAAACATCGCAGGCCCATTTTTATTTCACACACTTAAACCACGTCTTCTTTTTAATACTGTATGAAAATGGCTCCACGTAGATGAGGCCAAAAGAGATGTCAGCAGCTTATGTCAAAATCCTTAGCTGTACTTCTGATTTGTTCTTGAACTTCACCTGCCTGACAGCCTTTAACATTATGTCAGCTGGTGTTCTGTCATTCTCTGTCTTCTGTTGATCATTTTCTTCCTTCCTTCAAAAACACATTCCTCCTTGAAATTACAAAAGATTACAAGCTTATTTGTCTACCACCCTTGTTGCCTAATTAAATTAATAACTGTATGATGTAGTGTGTGGGTTTGTATCTACTAACACACTACATGCCTATGGTATAAGAGCGTATATACCCTGTCATGAAGTCTTTTCCAGGCACATGGCTGCTGCTGTAAACTACAGTGTGTAATATTCTATTTACAGTAACATTTAATACTGGTGTCAGAGGTAATTACACAATTTCACATAGTTGTTTGAGCATATTTTATGTGTTTATTTGTACTGGGGCAAGTAATCACATGTGACAACTTGCCCCAAAGTCACTGAGACAACTTGCCCCAAACTGACATGTGTGCTAATGTCAGCTAAATCTCAAGGTAAGCTTAACATAGCACTTCAGCTGAAGTATCAAAAGACACGTTATTGTCTCCTCTACTTTGTGCAAAGTTATCATTTTGAACATTCATGCCTAATAAGGTTGGATTACATAAAATGTAAAGTGCAAATGTTTTACTTATGAAGCAAAAAAATAATAAAATTGTGCTCACCTCATATTAGAGTGACCTTGACCACATGTGAACAGGAAGCTGAACATAGAAAAAGAAGTCACACAAAGTGGCTATTTGATTTTTGACATAGAGGCTCTAGTGTTGGAGTTATGAGCAGTGTGACACCTTACACATGAGACAACTTCCCCCTGCTCTCCCCTACATTAGGCTGTTTGAGTATATGTACTGAATTACATCCCACAACCGGCTGTAGAGTTGTTTGCTTATGTTGTTATGATCACATCAGATGATTCAATCAGTTGTTTATCGTTAAGCTCTTAATAAATAATACTTATAGATGTTTTCCCCAAATATTTTTACTATGTTTTGTAAAGAAATACTTTGCTCTGCAGCTCTGTTGAAGAGTTGATGCGTGCAGGAGATTAAGTAAAATCCATTGTAACTTTAATATAACAATGTAAAATCTAAGCATGAAAGTTGGATTTGTTGTGATGCTTTTTCAAAGAGTTTCATGTGCATTTCAAACATGCAACATATTAACAGATCAAATGAGCCTTCACACATGTATTTGCACTATGGTGTCCTCACCTGTGCTTCCTTTACTGTCAACCTTTATTGTAATGAAGTGTTTTATATAGTTTTATATAGGTGTTAATGTGATGAGTTGAACAAAAAACAAAATGTTAGTGTGAACTTCACCCCAAAATTAACAAATACTGAGAACTTGACAGAAATGATTGTGTTCTCTGAAACCAGAGAAGACTGATCTTATCATTCACACATGTGGTTTTGATGGTCTGGCTGCACTGAGGCTGCTATGGCTTTAATTTGACCAATGTTGTTGCTGCAATAGATGCATCATAGTGTATTCTTTTACTTTAGTTATTTTATTTAGTATGAAACATTTTTTTATCACCACAGACATCTAGAATGTGGAAAATATGTGATTTTAATATATCCTATATAAGCTATGTTTGATGTACAGAGTGACAGAGTGGTCATCGGGCTGGGTCACTCTCCAAGCTGCTGCAGAGCTTGTAATTGATGCTGAACTCTTTGATTTAATAAAATTTTATGATCAAGAACAGTGTCAAGCAGGTTTCTTCTCAACACATCATCGCAGCATTATCGTTCGGACACCACATATGAACGTGGACTTCCCTTATAATCTTGTGTGGTTACTGTTAATGTGCGATTAAAATGTCACTCCAGAAACCTGACATTCTGAGATTATCCATAATTTCCTCACTTTGCACATTGATGTTGAAATGTAATAAATATGTTTGCTTACCACACCATTTCTCTGTACGGACAAAAACATTACCACACATCCTGTTCTCACACCTCCCCATTACAAGCTGCTCATAAGCCACATTATATTTCTCACTGACTCTTTTTTAAAGCATTATTTTTATTACTTTAGTACCGCCATGGCATCATATTAGGACATGCATTTTGTTTTTTTTGGGGAGATTTATAAAATGTTGCACATTGGGAGGGAATGCATATTTAACTGTGCAACGTCTCACCAAAGCACAGAGGAGAATCAACAAAGCGGAAAAATTCAGCGATAGATTTTCAGACTATGGTCTGACCACAGTTTCCACAAACAGACAACTTTACACGTCTACAATACAAACATGCATGTATATGTAGTGTATGGACACGTTCAGTCAATTGGCAGCAAATCTTCAATTTTATGAGATCAAAGGGTGAAAGGTGTGATTACCATGACTGAGATTAAAGTCTTTGTCCCAAAGATATAATGTGTGTCTACAATAACATCCACACACTGCGGCTCAGGAAACTGTTATTTGATTGTTGTGTTATTGTTATTGTATGGGCTGACCGACAGCAGACAGGTGTGGAAAGCAGCAAGGGGCTGTTGCTCTTCCTCACACCCCTCTCTGTTTCCAGTCTAATAAAGGCAAAAGGTCAACTACGTCATACGAAACCTCCAGAGAAACTGGCATGATTATTTTTTAAACTGTAAAATGTCCTACTCAGTGAATATCTTGGTCACAATTATTTGATCAAACGGATAGCCTACCTATCTGAAATTGTTTATGTGTTGTTTAGGTTTTAAATTATATAATTTCTTGAGTATTTGTTAGTTTACCACAGCA